TTCCAGAGAGAGCATAAGCTGCCTTTAAATTTCACACTTTGGCAGAGTGGTACCCACAGAGGCAGTGATCCAAGAGCTGAGGAGAGGCACAGAGAGGCCCTGACCTGAGCAAGGGCTCATCCCAGAGCATCCAGCCAGGCAAGAGGACAGGGCTGGAATGGTGCCAGGGGCTGTAAGAGTCCAGTGATCATTAAAAAATGAGGGAGGACAAGGCAGGTCCAGGGTCAGGCCAGGAACAGCACTCAACAAGTCAGGAGCAGCAAAGGCCAGAGCAGAGAACAGAGTGCCCAAGGCCCAGCCTGGGACAGCACTGGGGCTCTGGCTGGTCAAGGGCTCCTGATGTGCCCAGGACCTGGCATTTCTTCATGGATTAACATGAGATTTCACCATTTTTATAGTTAAAGAAGCCACTGACAGAAAAATAAATCTCTTGCATCTAAGAACAAGCCTCAGGCTCTCATGCAAACATTTTAGTTGCAGGAATTTATTGCTTTTAGAGAACCATTTCTATTGACATAGGAGATACATATGTTTACAGTGGATTTTAGTAAGATCCTAACTTACTTGGGCAAAGGATGAGAAGAAATGGTTAATAAAGAGAAAAGAGCAACAGCTTAGTGTTCAGTCAATAATACTGAATTGTTATTCACAGATTTCAGGGTGCTTTTCAAAAAGCTGAAGAAACTCAGAGAGAATGAATGAACTGTGCATAAGCCATTCAGCAGATTGAGATCAGAGAAGCAGATATTTTGGGTTTATTTTGGATCACAGTCTGAACATGAATGATCCATATTGTGTTGTTGCAAAGAAGTATCAGTTGTACCAAGATGTTAAATTTTATAACAACCATGTTCCTTCTTTCTGATGAGTGGCATATCACATCAAGATAAGAAATCAGCAGGTCACCTCATCCACTGCCACAACCTAAAGTAGGATCACATAGATCAGCAAAGTGCTCCAGGTTACACCCAGCTCTGGAATTATAATTGTAAAGTTAATCAGCTTCCTCAGTCAACCAGAGCCCCAGAAAAATGATTGCTGGCATAAGACAGGGAGGCAGAAAATGAGTAGCAAGGGGAGGAGGAAAGGCAGAAATTATTTATACCAGTATAATGTGCTGAACTATGATTCTACTTGATATTACTGAACATTTTTATTATTTATTTTAAAGTTATTATTTATTTTAAATGTTCCCTGAATGGTCAAAAAATGTTTTGAAATGTAATTCTGTGTCCTCCCCTTCACATCACCTGCAAAATTAATAAGAATTTTCTCTGTTCCATTTTTAAATTGTTAATATCAATAACACAGAGACTCAGACTGAAGACAGGCTCTAAAAAACAGCAATATATCCTTTCTTTTTGTGAGTGAACTATTTCTTGCTATACAGGAAGTTTTGTACAGACCTCATAGAACATTTACCCAGACTGTATTTCTTTAACTTTTTAAAGAAAATGTCATGTAAGTGTCATAAGCATAATCAAGCTGACAACAGGCTCTGTCCTATCCATTAGGCCTGTTCCCTACTGGAGGAGAAAAATCAAGTTATCTGGTGTGATTTATTTTTGACAGATCCATGTTGACTGCAATTTTACTCTGGTTATCATCTAGGTGCTAATAATAGTTTGTGAGGTTTATTTGTCCAAGGATTTTTTAATGAATTTTAGTTAGTCTCACTCAAATTGAGCTGTATTTCTCTGGCTCCATCCCCCTCTGATAACAGCAATGTACAGTTGCCTCTTCTGTTTTTCCACCATCTCATTCACCTTCTTAATTCTTCAACTGTCTTTCAATCACATTCACTAGACTCAAACTGAAAATATTTGGTTTATCTGAGTGCTCCTTATCTGTTCTTTACCTACTCTGGGCTGAGATAATTTTGTTCTCAGCATCACCAGTCCCAACTATCTGCATGTGCTTGGTCTTTTTTGTAAGTCCAATACAACAGAGACACCAATCCCTTTAGCTGTCTTCATAATTTGTTGATAGATTTTCTTCTCTGTTGAGTAGGGGGTTAATAATTTCTCTATATCCTTCTTAGTACAAATACAAGTAAAGAGCAGTTTTTATCTGGTAGCTTTTGACAGTTCAATGGTTTTGCAGCACTACCTTTTTTAGTGCTTCTTTCTTATTCTTAGTGATTTGACCCATCTTCCTTTGTATTTTCTTCATGTGCTTAAGGTCAATAGAGACCTCATGATGTGGCCAAGCTAAGCTTACTGCTATTTCTGTTCTACTCACAATTGGGATAAATGGCCCTTTGAATTATTTTTCTAAAGCATTATTGCTTTTCTTAACTCCTCTCTTTAAACTTCCTTCCTGTGAGCTCTTAACTATTGATTGCTTAAATCTTTAGCGTTCATGACTTCTGTCTTTATTTAGCTGTGCTCTTTCCTTCCTCTTTAATGGACAACAAGCTGTCATTTTGCAAACACTCTGTTTTTGTGAGCAAAATGCTGCCCACTTTCATGTTTTCAGCCAGTTATTCTTCACTGGCAATCTCTGAAAAAACACAGCAAACCCAAATCACCCAACCAAGCCCTCATATTCTTGAGGCTAGGCCATATTCTAAAAAAATCACTACATCTGAAATACCAGCACCTGACAATGTGCTGCTGTTCTAATGGAAGGGGTTTTTCACTTCACCAAAGATAAGCTCAGGAAAGAAGTCAGAGACCCAGACCCCAGACACTGCCAAAGGTCAGAGACTGAAATGCAGAGACAAGATACAAAACTGCCTGGGATTGCTTCCAGCAGCAGTAGCTGCCTGTTGTATGTGACTGAGGGAGTGGAAAGGACAGATCTGTCCCCTGGTTGTTCATTGGCAGACCCCTAAGAGAAAACACTCTGTGCTTTGTGAGCAGTAATCCTGTGTTTTAGAAATAGAGTATCTTTTTGAACAGTAATCCTACAGCTTAGAAATAGAGGAAGAAGAAAACTGGCAAATATTGGTGTTAGTGCTGAACTGCTTGTTTTGAGAATTCAGGCTGTGAAGCAGGGTAGTGCAGTATGTGTGTGTTGCAGGTTAATGGAGCAGGAATTTACAGGAACATTGTGCTGCAGGTTTAGATCAACAACAGGGGTTTTAATCAATCAGCAGTGACTGAAAAACCAGCATTTTGTAGAATACTTATTAAGCTCAAATTGTGGAAAGGAGTCCTTGAAGATTTTGGAAAAGCCTGGTGGGATCCCTTCTCTCCCCAAAAGGGAGTAATTTCATCCACAGCAGTGGCAGTGACATACAGCCTCCAGCTTTACAGACCAAGTGCTGCTGCTGCTGTGTCTATATAGAAATCACTTTGACTCAGCCAATATTGATATCTAACTGGTCTTTTCAAACTTATTTGTGGAACTAAGCTTTTATTTTCAATTAATCAGGCTCAGCAGTTTGGCCAGTGATAGTGCTGTCCTAATGCCGTCCTGTGGAGAAGGAAAGCCCTGAAATAATCAGGATGGAGAGAGCAATGTGCTGCATGCAGGTAATGTGAAATAAAATCTGTAGGAGGCAGCTCTCAGGGGATGACCTGGCTCTGACTGCCTTGAAAATATCCCCTCAATCTGCTACTCTCTCCGGATCCCCACAGACCTTTGCCTTTCAGACACAGTTACATATTTGCAATACAACCTCTTCACAATGCTACAAACCAGGCACCAAATCCATGCTCTGCTGCACAGGGCACACATGGCAGTAAACAGTCTGAGCACTGAGACAGCTGGGGTCTGTGCTCTATGTGAGGCACTGGGGACACCTGGCTGGGGACACCTGTGTGCGACACTGGGCACACCTGGCTTTGGGCACTGTGTGTGACACTGGGCACACCTGGCTTTGGGCACTGTGTGAGGCACTGTGCACACCTGGCTGGAGGCACCTGTGTGTGACACTGGGCACACCTGTCTGTGTGCGACACTGGGCACACCTGGCTTTGGGCACTGTGTGTGACACTGGGCACGCCTGGCTGAAGGCACCTGTGTGTGACAGGGGGCACACCTGGCTGTGTGTGACACTGGGCACACCTGGCTGGGGACACCTGTGTGCGACACTGGGCACACCTGGCTGTGTGCGACACTGGGCACACCTGGCTGCGGGCACCTGCCCATGTTACACCGGAGCTGAGCTGGAGCCCCGCTCGGGTTTGTCCTTCCTCGGCCGACCTACCTGTATCTGCTGCAACGGCACTTGAAAAACTCGTTTATCGAGGTAAGGTCGCTGCCGAT